GCAGTGTGCAGAGGGAGGGAGGGAGGGGGGTCATCAGATAAGAGAAGAATTTCTAGACTAATTAAACCCTTTGAGACAAAGAATCACACCACAGTGATTTACAACTCTCTGTACCAGTTAACCCGACTCATATTTATCTGTCATATTACTCCGATACCTCTATGGGTAAGAAGTCTTCTTTTTGTCCTCAGCATTATGGATACAAGAGGGGAAGACAAAAGAGTAAATAACAACAGTTACATGAGATTTTCCAATACTGTTCACTCAAAGAGACAAATGCTAAGAAAAATTAAAAAAAAGGTACAGAAAGATCCCAGCTTCTTCCAATCTACTTCGTACAGTTTAATGGTATAATAAGCTCCTTAATTTACCCTCAGCTACAACACAACTTCCTGTGCAATGCTCACAATAAAACATGGTTTCTCATTGTTTATAACACGGAAATATAAACCTTCACACAAACTGCCGACATTTTTGCGACCTTAAACCGCTAAACTGAACATTTAATCTAATCAGTGCAATGAAACAAAACAAAAGGAGAAGCTCCAAAGTTGTGAATAGCAAAGTCTACCAGGCATAATTCCTTTTGCTGGCTGCTGCAGAGGGGGTATGCTAAGATAGAAAGTATTATTTTCCTAAATGGAAGGTGTCAGATGGTCACGGAAATGTGATCGGCTGTTCAAGATCACTGCTTCCCATCTGCAATTTGTGACGTGTGAAAGACTCAGCCCAAATGTGCTCACCAAGCGTAAATCCTCAGCACTTTCTCTTATCGTGGAAAAGCAAGATAACCAGCTGTTTACAGATCAGAGAACATATCATATTAATATCATGGAGAGGGTGATATCATCTTGTTTGTAAAATATTTTGTTAACTAAGTGTGGTGTGGTATGGCAACCTATAAAGTGAGAGTTGTAATTCGTGTGTTAGTGAAAAGGTTGTTTTCTGATAAAAAAAAAAAATGAAACACTGGAAAGCAGAAAATGCAGCAGGCAGCCTCTTTAGAAAGACTGTAGTGAGACAAAATTAATGCAAACTGCAGGTTACAGTAAATACTGAATTATAAAGCCTTCAGCAGTAACATTTGAATTGAAGACTCTGCTTCAATTCCAGTTAACTAAACACAAATAGGCTTCTTTTGATTCCACATCTGCCTTATTGTATTATTATATTATTGTATATTCTTATATGATCTTTCACAGTTCACAGTTATGTGTTTAATGATATTATAATGTGATATGGAAACATCTACTATACAGTATTTTCAGGGATTTTGATTGTGAGTCCCCAGTAAACTGTAACTTAAACTGTCTGTGTGGCAGAGGTTGTACCAATTTGTCATCTCCCGAGAGTAGCCTTGACACAAAAGGATCAAATGAGTTCACTGGCAGCATTAGTTTAATCTACAGAGGTGAGGAGAAAGTGAAATGGTCAGCTAAAGTGCAACATTTCCTCTCAGCAGCTTCACTTCATCGTGATGAATTTGGAAATTTCAACAGATGCAGACACGTATTTACTTGATTATATGACTTTTTCTTCATACATTGTGATACCGGGACTGATTAGCGCGTGCCTGTCATCTCAGATCAAAATTAGTCAGAGATGATTCATAAAACGTCCACGGTGTAATAAATTGGAAGCACTTATATTTGCCATTCAGGGAGAATGGGAGGCCTGCTGTTTTAAACCCCCAGATCCCCACACATGGCGTAGCCACCACAGACACGGCTCAGAGAGTCAGACGGCAGCCGGGAGGTGAGCAGAAAGGAACAGGCGGTGTCCTCTTCAGAGTGAGCACAGGATCGTGTGTGTGTGTGTGTGTGTGTGTGTGTGGCATTTCTCAAATGACAAAAGGATACCAGTTGTGCAGTTCAGGTGGGAGGAGACATGGAGGTGGTGTGGAGACTCACCTGAGGGAGAGTCCGGGCTGTCGGGACCAGGGCTGCAGTGGCGACCCGGACATGTGTGAGGCCCCGCAAGTGGCCACCGTGCTGTGGAGGAGGTTTTTTTATGGGGGCTGGTGAGGGAGAGGGGGCTGCTGTTGCGCAGTTTCCCCAGCGTGATGCATCTACCTTCAGGGTGGCAGCAGGCGTGGAGTGGGGTGCGATGGAGCGAGCACGGGCTCAGTGGCGCGGTCACCTGGGGACGCTGAAGCCGCTGTAGCAGGACTGATAGTTATTCCTTGGGAGAATTGCAAGATGAGCCCCATTGTATTAGCAGCCCCCTTCTACTGAAACTGTATCAATGTTCTCAAGCCTTTAAAGAAACAAGTTGGGGTGCAAAATATCTGACACTCACCTGGAAATCACATGCAGCATGCTTTACAGTTTTGTTTAACAGAATAAATATAACGTTGAAGGACCAGGTATAATTTCTAAATGAAATGTAAAATGTAATAATGAACAAGGGTTCTCCAATTCAGCACAATACTCATAGCTGTATGTTTCCCTGTGAATCTGAATTACTGTTGTCTGAGTTAAACTTCAGTAAATTCCTTTGGCAACGGGAAGCCAGCAAATTATTCCATACTGATTTGAAAATTCTCAGACATTAAGCTTTCTCATTTCCAAGCCATACTTTTGTGTTTGAGTCTTATGTTTAGAAATTCTCTGTGTCTAATATGGTCAGCACTCCCAATTATTCACTCCACTGACAAGTGAAACAAATGGGACCAACCAGTGCATTCTGTATTATCTACACCCCTTGGATTCCCTGACAATAATTAATACAATGGCAAGCTGCTATTAGCAGCCCCGACGACATGAGCTCGACAACATAAGCTCTCCTTTTCCAGCAGCTTTTTGAGAGGAAATTACATCCAGCGCTGAGGTCACATACATCGTGGCCACTAGCAGCCGGGTCATATCACACTGCTGTCTGACAGCCGAGATCAGATAAAGGTCCTATTGTAGGGCGCCGTTAACATCAGCAGGCTATTACTCACATCATTACACCATGAATGTAAGGTGCATGGAATATGTCCGGAATAATATGAATGTAGGACTGTGACTATAAAGATATACACCACCTTTAACAGCAATACTGTATGTATCAGGGGAGTTCATTAATATGCCACATGATCGTATCCAAGCAGCAGTGCTGACCGCTGCTACAGTACGGTCACACTCCGTTATGTAGTTACTTCATTAGCTCATAATACATATTAACAGAATCAAAACATTGCTAATACATCACATAAAGAGCATGTACTGCATGTAAGCAGTATTGGTAAATGTATGTGTATGTTTTTGCAATTGAAAAAAAACAGTCTCATAATAAAACAAAATGAAATAAATTAACTTTTTTTTTATCTGTCCTTTTTAAAGAGTTGTCATGTAATCATAAGAACTCCTCTTATTTTAGCCTACGAGGATATTAAAAGGTTTTTTTTAATTATAGAGGAGCACATTCTCCTAACATCCATTAAAGGAATGCCATGCTAATTTTAAATCCTCGCAGCAGGCATTGGCATCAACAGAAGAAAAGTGGATGAGTTTCTCTTTAACAGCTGTAATTTGTGTTTTCCAATCACCATGCTGATTCCTGCTCATTATACTCCGGTTTCACACCGGTAAGTGAGCAAAGTTTGGATTGATTGACTCTAATTAACTAAAAAATGTTCCAAGCCACGGATTTATTATCATGCTAGCTAGCCACAAATGTCAGAGACTTTCACAAATTATTATCCTGTTAAGATAAATATCTTTGAAATCAAATGAGTGTGGCAACACAAGGAACATGTATTGTTATAGTGATGAATTTGTTTGGCATGTTTTCGGCAGAGTTCCACATTAAAGACTCACCTGGGCAAACACACTGTTCCAGTGTATTGTTCAGCTGCACAGTATGACTGAATGACAGATGCTGTAGTTACCTAAACTTTAAAGGAACACACTCCCTAATAACCCAGTGTACTGTATAAACACTGAAGGGAATGAACAGCAGACATGGTTCAAAAGTAGTTAGTCGAAATAAAACATTCTCCGTAAGATATTAAGATATGAAGTAGTGCAGATCTGCCTGGTCTACTCTATGTTGACAGAAGACCTATTCCCTCTTGTGTGCTCTAGAACTTGGCAGCATCTCCCTCATTGATATTTTAGACACAGTAGCACCTCTCAACACTCACACTCTTTCCTTGACTCCATCAGCTCCATGGCTCAACTCTCCACTTGCTGACGAACAGGAAGGTTTTGAGTGGACACCTCAGGTTTTTTTTTCCTGATTTTGAAAAGATCTCAAAACACAACTTTGGTTAGCTTGAGAAGACAGAACGTTGCTCTGATTCACTCGGCTTCACGTCAACGATCAGAAACGATCGCTGGAGTGAATCCAGGCGAAACGGGCCCCTCGTCTGCATGGTGGCGCCTGGGCGGAAATTGAGAATCATGCTGCCTGTAAATCAGATTTTGCCAACATGTCTCTTGCAAAATCTGCGTTTATACAAAACTGCCAAAAAAAAAAAAAAAAATCCTCTAAAACCAGCTTTGATGTATCACAGAATACAACAACACTGTGAGGCTTGTGCTGTGTATAGTCCGCCCTCATCATACTGAAAAAGGCATCGAACAAAGAAGAAAATACATCTCAGCTGTCAAGTATCAGTATTTCCACAGTCCACCCTCCTTAGAGTAGCAGCATTTAGGTGTGTGCACTTTGAGGCACGGCGGCAGATAAATGTGATGACATCTAGTTGTGGCTCACTTTAATTTATTTGGGGGATTGATTAGATGCAAAGAGAGTAGATAAATGTGTTGGGGCGGCACTTTCATTTAAGATCTTGCCATATCGTCAGTAAGGATTATGAGACGAACTGAACATTTCTCTCCTCAAGGTGCTTTTGGAGATCTAGTGGCACCAAGTGAGTCGTCTATATGAGATTCCACATGAATGTCACTGAGCAGGTTGTTATATATGTTTAAAATTATATAGTATATTTAAGTTAAAAGCTACAGAAGAAAACTTTATTAAAAATCTGAATTCAATTTTTGCAGGTAAAAGAGACGACATGTATGAACGTGTGAATACTTTTGTTTTCAGCCAAAAGTATTTCAAAATGTTCCAGTTTGACTTAATAATAACAATAATCATTGATTTGAGGTGAAACGCTACGGCCATGTTAAGACACTAGACCGATCTGCGTTGCAGTCAACTATGTCTCTCTAAGGTTGTTGTGTTCACACTGCCCCCTTCTGTCCCCACGAGTGAGAGAGGCATCCAGCGTATCAACAAAACAACAGCATCTCTATCAACCAGACACAGACAGAAGGAGAGGGCAACACTGTTTCTAAAGGAGCCGTCGAAGAGCATCGACCTTGAGAAAATCCACAGCATGTGTGCTCTTTCAGGAAAGATATGACCATTATTATTTACTTATTTCTATTTTTTATGTAAATTAACAATATGTAATAAGTCAGATGAGACTATTCTTTATGCAGAAACATTCATATGTAACTTTTAAAGTCTGCTGTATATGGAGCAGGCGGTAGTGTTGTGTACCATTAGTGTGTCATTGTTGAAACATGATGAAACTAAAAAACTATTTTCTATAAATGTGATTGGGTTAAGATTCCAAATTGAAAACAGCGTTTCCCCAGGGTTCTTTAGAACGCCAGTGCATCGTGCGCACACAACATCCTTTCGTGCACACTATTTACCCCTGGATTGCTTCAGGCTAATGTCTCAATAATTTTCACTCCTTTCTCAGGTCCTTCCCACAAAGGACTTAACTAATGATCCATGGACAAAATGAAGCATTCAAATTTATTCATTAATCATTCATCTCCAGCTCATTGAAAATGCTAAACTTCCACAAAATTAAGATTGAATATTGAAAAGTGATTGAGGGAGACAGCTCTCGGAGAGTGAGGAGAGCGGGGAGCGCGAACAAAAACAGGGGTCTTTTCAAGAGACAGTGGTCTTCACATGGACACGGTCAAGGTGGCCAAGGTGTGCTAAGTGCTAGTTAAGGTCACGGGGTTTCACTAGTTGTAATTAGATCTTGGAATCTGGAGAAGCGTAGAATTTCTGTCAACACTGCCTGTAATTATTCTCTTTTCCAATTAATGGTGACATAGATTAATTATCTGATGAGGCAAAGCCAATTGCAATCATTCACCCAGCTAAAATTAGATCAGTCCTGACAGCAGCATGAAAGTCACCTGTTTCATTGTTATGGATTCGCTGCAAGTAAAGAGGGGGGGGGGGGGGAATAGTGAAGCGTGCTAAGGTAAGTAAGTAAGTTGTCTGGTACAGGTGAATGTCCAATTACACTGCTATTTGAACTGAAGGCATCTACTCATTCGATCCTGGACTGGCTTGTTTGTTCACCCCGGCATCATCAGTGGTAGTAGAGTCATCTGTCAAGGATTGCAGGAACGCAGAGATGAGCTGACTTTCTGCTGACAACCCCTCCTGTTTGAATAACATAATAAATGGAAACAAGCTAATTAAGAAAGGCAATAACACAAACTGCTCGCTCTATCTGCATCCCCACACACACGGCTGATGGTGAGTCTACATTCATGGAAGTAAAGTTACCATCTCGTTCTTATTTTTTGTGAGGAAGGAGAACAAGAGGCTCCTGGTGAACCACGTCCAGGTTCAGTGCTCTTCTGTTTTAAAAACCTCAGCATCCAGTTTTTCTATTAAACTGCCTGGCACTGTCAACCAGCTTGGGAATCTGAACCGGCCTAGCCATGCAGAAATTCTCTGACTAACAATTATATCAGAAACAGGATCTTGGATTACAGTCCCCGGGGACTGGGGCAGTGGGCGTCTGCTCCAATCATTACTGGCCATTCAACAAGGCTCTGCACTGCTCTCCGCTGTTAGCCATTGTCAATTATGCCATCCCTAGTGTAAACTCGCAGAACACAAAGCTGAACTGCCAGTTCTGGCAGGAGTGTAACAGGATGACAGCCCCCCCCCCCCCCCCCCCCCCCCCCCCCCCCCCCCCCCC